AAAAGAAAAAAGCCGGAAGTGGCGCTGTGGCTCAAGTGGTAGAGCGCTAGCCTTGAGCTGAAGAGCTGAGGGACAGCGCCCAGGCCCAGAGCACAGGCTCCACAACTGGACCCCCCCCCAAAAAAAAACAATAGTTTTGTTATTTTATAAATATACTTTATTTGTATAAAACCTAGCTTATTTTGAAAAAGTCTGTGATATGTCTTTTCTTTTAAACCATTTCTCATGTTCCAAAAAGATACACACACACACACACACACACACACTTTTTATTTTGTGCCAGTCCTGGGGCTTGAACTCAGGGCCTGTGTACTATGCTTAAGGTCAGTGCTCTTCCACTTGAGCCACGGCTCTACTTCGGGGTTTTTTTGGTGGTTAATTGGAGCTAAGAGTCTTGTGGGCTTTTCTGTTGATGCTGGCTTCAAATAGGATCCTCAGATTTTAGTCTCCTGAGTAATGACGATTACAGGTATGAGCCACTGGTGCCTACCAACCATATATATTTTTTAAGTCAAAGAGAAAAAAAATTAATTTGAAATGATATGACGTTCCTCTTTGACCTGTTTTGCTAATAGGTTTAGTAAAGATTCATCTAAGTATGAACTTGGATAAAGAAAAAGCAGTAACAGTGAAATGCTTTGACATCACTATATGTGCTGCAGTGAGAAGGAGGGCATTGTAGGGTGATGAGCCAATGTTCCTTTTAGAGGAAAGGCAAATGTATGCCCAGCAGGTAGGTGAAGGTAGCCAGTTGAGAACATGATTGCTCTAAGTCCTTTATCAGTGGATAGGTAACATTTCCCAGTTGAAACTGAAATTCATACTAGTTTGTTCTCTTAAAATGGTATTACAATATAGGGATCCATGGCTCTGGAAATTCCATTTCCAGATTTAAGAATGAAAGAATTTTATTCTTGCACTATAAGGCTGTAAAGATTTTTTTTGGTCAGTCATGGATGGGGCTTGAACTCTGGGTCTGGGCACTGTCCCTGAGCTCTTCAGCTCAACGCTAGTGCTCTATCACTTGAGCCACAGTGCCACTTCTGGTTTTCTGCGTGGTTTATTGGAGATAAGAATTTCACAGACTTTCTTGCCCAGGCTGGCTTTGAACCTTGATCCTCAGATCTCAGCTTCCTTAGTAGCCAGGATTACAGGTATGAGCTACTGGCGCTTGGCTTAGGATATAGTTTTTTTTAATACTTAAAATTTATCTGGCTAAACACTTATGAAGTTTGCCTAAAAGTGAGGAGTGGGCTGGGAATGTGGCTTAGCAGTAGAGTCCTTACCTAGCATGCTTGGAACTCTGGGTTCACTTCCTCAGTACCACATAAAGAGAAAAAGCCAGAATGGTGCTGTGGCTCAAGTGCTAGTCTTGAGTACAGACAGGCTGAGGAACAGAGTCTAGGCCCCTGTGTTCAAGCCCCAGGACCAGAAAAAAAAAAAAAATGAGGGGTGGCCTTGGCTGGGCTTGGTGGCGTGTATTTCTCAGTGTATGAGACAGGAGGACCATGAGTTCGAGGCCAGCATGAGCTACATAGGAAGATCCTGTTTAAAAAAGGTGTAGGATTTTGGGAACTGGAATGTTGTTCTGTGATAGAGCATGTGCTTAGTTAATTCGGTCCTCAGCACCGGCTGAGAGTGGCTTACTTTCAGTTCTGGCTAATTGGGAGGCTGAGGCTGGAGGACAACTTGCTTCTGGGAGTTTAGAGACAGCCTAGGCTGTGAAACTTATCACGATTTTTTTCTGTTGAAAGAAATTACTGAAGCATAATTTCAAGACCATTGAATTTTTGAACTGATTTTTCTTGCAAATCATTCCTTATCTGTTTAATTTACAGAACTGCTTCACAAGTTCATTTGATGAAATTCTCACCAGATGGAGAATTTTTTGCCACTGCTGGGAAGGTAAATTGTGAAAATACTACTGTCAAATTATGTGTTTATACTTTATTTAAAAAATGTAACTACATTAGCCAGCTTCATCCTTTTATTGCACTTGAAAACATTATTTTCTACTGAAAATGTTAAATAGAAAAGAGCAGCTAGATATTGCAGTGTTAAAGGCTGTATGATATAATGGAAAAATAGCTTAGGCCTAAAGGCTGGTCAAGGTATAACTACATCAGCTTTATCATGGTCACAGGATAGTTAGTCGCTTTGAGCCTATTTCTGCTCTCATGTAAAATTAGGGTAATATCACCTACCTTATAGATTACTAATTATTGGGTGAATTTAGACAGTACATACAAAGCAACTATAGTATGTAACCAAGAAGTTGTGGCTCCTATTTATATTACTTTATAGCTGACCTGTGTAGAAGGCTGCATTTAAAATGTAAGACTTTCTAAGCTTGCTACAGAGATATTTGTGAACATTTTTCACTTCATATACCTTGTTAATAATTGTTGGTTTCAGAATACTTTAATTCCTTGAAATCATTTTCTTTTTAATCATTGGTTCACAGAGCAGTTTGTGAACTTTTAGTGGTCTCAAATTAAGAGTTCTCATGGCTCAAAGCCTTCTGCAAACAGTATGAGATACTCTAACCCTTCAAGGTTTTCTTTTTGTTATTTATTTATTTTTTTAGAAAGCAGTGAAGCTGTATTCTGATTGACTTTACAGATGGAAACTCAATTATAATTTAAAAGCAGTACCTAGTACTTGTCTTCCTTTGTCTTATCTTCCTATATAGGAGTGATGATAATTCACAAAATAGCCTTTTCAGGAATTAGATATATCTATAACTCTGTTGCTGTTGTGGCTTTCTTCTTTGATATTTGACTTAAGGGAAAATAAACTCTTTCATCTTTCAGTCTTTCTTAAAACTGTATTTTCCATACTATGTGCTAATTAGAAAATATTGTATTTGGAACACAAAATACATATATTCATTCATTTTGATTCTCAAAGCAAAATTAAGTAATGCTGATTTAAAAGTACCATAATCATACATCTTCTCATTTTTTTATGCCCAACCCTTTTTCTTGTCCCCAACCTCTTGCTGTTGAGAAGAATCACACTTTTGCTATTTGACTTTGGTTTTGTTGGTTTATTTTTTGTTGTTGTTGTTTGTTTTTTGAGACAGGTCTTGCCACATAGTCCAAGTTGGCCTGGAATTCACCATGTAGCCTCTGCTGGGCTTAAACTGCTGATCCCCTCCTGCTTTCCTCATCTGAGTGCTGGGATTACAAGCATACATCATTGTGCCCAGCCTGCTGTTTGACTTTAGGTTTAATTCTGATCTGGATATTTTTGTTTTTGTTTTCCCTTAGGATGACTGTCTCTTAAAAGTTTGGTATAATGTAGAAAACTGGCGGACAGCTGTTACCTCTCCAGATAGAAGTTCAGAAAAACAATCCCAAGGAGAAATTGACTTTTCTTTTGTATATCTGGCTCATCCTCGAGCAGTAGATGGATTTTCCTGGCGTAAAACAAGCAAATATATGCCTAGGTCAGTGGATTGGTTATTTCCTTCTGTATGTTAAGACAACATCTTCATTGTGACTTTGCTTTTCTCACTTTGTGTCCGAACCTCTTAAGACTTCTGAGCCTTGGATGATGAGAGACAGATGACTATGTGGCCCCTTGTGACCTGCGTACCTCTGAACTCAAGCTATGACAACTTACCTCTATGTCAGATTCTGTCAGAATTGTGTATAATTTTTTCTCTGTTTTGTGTCTATTTTTTTTTGTCCCTTCTTGCATTTGGTACTTTCTAGTATGTGTCTCCTCTGGTTTCCTTTTTTTTTTTTTTTTGGGTCCAGTTGTGGGGCCTGAACTCTGGGTCTGGGCGCTGTCCCTCAGCTCTTCAGCTCAAGGCTAGCGCTCTACCACTTGAGCCACAGCGCCACTTCCGGCTTTTTTCTTATGTGGTGCTGAGGAATCGAACCCAGGGCCTCAGGCATGCAAGGCAAGCGCTCTACCACTGAGCCACCTTCCCAGCCCTGGTTTCCTTTCTTAAAGATAGCTTTATTCAGAAGATATAGTATAAGTCCTCAAGCATTTGACTATTCCCAGCATCTCTGAGGGAATAGAGTAGGTTCATACCTTATGATTTCTTCTATGGAATTAGGTATTAGTTTAACCCACACAAACACATATGTGCATACTGCTGTATTTTCTTTCTTTGTCTTAGTCCTTGAAAGACACTACCACGCTGAATTTTGTCTATGTCTGTGTGAAGTTAGAGAGGCCTGTTACTTAAGTAAATAGACTTCATGTCAGTTTTCACTCTTGTTACACCGTGTAGGTTTACCATTTCACTATTCAGCCGGTTTTGTCATCTGAGACATTCTAAGCTGATTTGTGGTAGTGTATCTAGATTATTTGTTAACTCTATTTTGTTCTATAGATACAGATTTTTTTTTTAGGCCATAGTGCAGTAATTTCTGTCATTACTTAGCCTAACTTAATAGAGGTAAGAGGGAACAACACTCCAGGAGAATGTTTCTTGTTTTTTCTTTCTCTTTTTCTTTTCCTTCTTTTGTTCTGGGACCAAGATTGGAACTTGATGATTTGCTCATTGGCTGGTGCTTTACCAACTGAGCCATGCCTCAAATCCCAAAAGGGTTGACCATTTCTCTCTCTCTCTCTCTCTCTCTCTCTCTCTCTCT